TTTTTTTCTACATAGAAAATGATGGGAACTATACTGTAAGTAACCCACGCACATTAGATTTTCGTATATTTTGAGATAAAAAATAAAATGTATATTTGTCCATACAAAAATTTTTTTTTCTCTGAATCTATCAACTTTTCAAGAAATCATACAAGAATAAAAGTTGTTAGGAATGTTATTATATATCACATAAAAAAAATTTGCTCGATACTCTACAAGTTATTCCTATGTCCAAGAATTATCAATTTGGGCCCACTGTGTGGCGTTCCGATATGACCCTTTGGGACCAATGCAATATCTGCGATATCATACTTCTTGGAATTACAAATAAAATTAAAAAATATTATTTCGCACGTTCGGTGTTCTCAGCCTAAAATCACCGTAGCCATTGTTTTTTCTCGCTTCTTACACCCAGTAACATTGAAATATGAATAATTTTAAGCTAAACTATCAATATGTCTAAATGGCATTAGAATAGACAAAGTAGTGTTCTAGTTATTATTTAGAGGATGGAAACGTTGTGAGTTGCGATTGTTTTTTTTTTACAATGTATTTATGTACGACTCCAGGTGCATATCCATTTTGAGGTAAAATATAGCGCCATCTAGTTGACGTGTTTGTTATCACTAGAAGCAGATTTGATAGAATCAATGTGTCAATGTAAAATAACGTTACAAAATAGCTATTTGGTAATCGTCGCGACATCTAGTGTACCAATAGGTACTAAATACCCGGCTACGCTATCTTGTATGACGATTAGCAGTCCTCTTGAGTTATTGGTCCATGGTAATGTGCAATCCTTCCTAAATCAAATAACTAGTCTTACTTTTTTTATGAATAAATGAAGTGATTTATCTTTTTTAAATAGACATGTAAATGAAAATACATTAAAAAAAGTATTTTATAGTATTTTGTAGCATAAGTGATTTGGCTACCAAATGAAATGATTTAATTTTTAGTAACAGTACGCTCAGAAGAAAGTAATGGCATTTTTACTGCAAAATCGGCGGCCACACCCAAATACCGGTTCAGTAAACCTGCTGAACATTATTCATTTATTTATTTCAGGCCACATGACCCATATAATTATATACCTTAAGGAGTAACATGAATACAATATAATAAAACACTATTTGTAACTAATCTACATGAATTGCACTTGTCGGTGACATGTGGTGCAATCTGGTGTTAGGTAACCCGCTGCGGAGTCGCCGATATATGCCACCCTTCAGCCAAAATTCTTCCTTCATGAAGGTCGACAGATGTCACACACAGATATTACAGAGGCCAGTACTCTCACCACAAACAAATTGAAATTCACATTGTGGCCATCTGCCTCTGTAGTTTTACTAGTTCAGAGACAGGCACACGGGGATTACTTTTTCCCTTAGTAGATTGCCGCCGCTCGTGTTTCAAAGTGGCGGGTCGGGTACTTAAAGCGGCTACAGCGGCGTAAGCACGTGTAGGGGTTAACGTGCGTACGCGTGACGTTTCCGTCGAGACGGAGGGGCGGGCAGCGGAGCGCGGTACATCACGCGCGGTGGCAACAGCGATCGGTGCATTCGAATGTGCCGCCTCGACACTGCAAATGGATGCATTTTGCGCCTCACGACGCATGTTTACAGTAGAGGCTTCTGGCTACCTACACACCGAGGCAGCGTCGCTTAACAACGCAACTTGGGCATGCAGCTCACTTAGGGTGTTATATGAAGCCTGTAATTTACATTGTAATTTGGCTTGGCTTGACTTCAAGGACGTAATGTCCTTCAGCAGCCTAGTGACATCAACTCGGTCAAATGTGACTGGGGCAGCTTGTGCAACTCCTTCGCCACGAATGTGGGCACGTCGTCAGGATCAGTCTCCTTTAGGAGTGTGATGATATCCTGGAGACACTTCACGCCTACATCCCTCCGGCTAGAAGGCATCTGTTCGGCTTTACCGAGGCTCTGGAACAACAGCATCTTGCCATTGCAAATCTCATCCTCATTGAAATTCGATTTGCTGATCTGCACAATGCTGACTTCGCGCATGGTGTCGATGGCGTGTTGAATAAACGCCAGGAGCATTGGCAATGAGTTGCTGGAAACCCATTGTCAATTACGGGCAGCGGCCTGTGCCGCGCGAGACGCGAGTTTATAGTGAATAGTTAACTCACTGCGTAGTGGAGTGTCCGTTTCCGAACGCGCATTGTGTTGTACTGATTATTAATATTGAACATAAACAATTATTCAACCCACACCTTGTAGTTATAAGTGCAGTTATATATGAACACAAGTGTTGAAGTATACAAGTAATCATTATTGCTGCAGCCATATCAGAAAAGCGTCATATTAAGTTTTAATAGCAGCTGATTACAATTGAATCACATAGAGACATTTGTAATTTATCTTGAATACATTGTATTCTATTTAAGAATCACTGAATGATTAGCTATTTTAGCAAAAAATGGAACTTTCATTTTGATCCAATTCATCTATATTCGGCAGTGGACGTATTTCAGCTGAAATGATGATTACTTACAAGATATCTATAAAAAGTGTCAAAAGGATTGGGTTGGGGAAAGGATAGACTGAACCAAAGGCACTAAGCGAACAGGACAGATTTTTTTTTAAAGTACCATTGAAAGAATAAAATTTGAAAAATCTGTAGACAGTCTAAGTTCTGGCCTCTTATTTATTGAACATATTTATGGGGATGATTCTTAGTAGGAAAAAGTGCTTATTATAACATAACATTAATCACAGTTTATAACAAAATAAAAATTTCATTCAATTTTCCATCTGCTTCAGTCCAACAAAAGGGATCTACACTACCTTAATTGTCATTGTAGTAGCAATATATGTACTTTTACAATATTAAGAGTAGTAAAGTGATTATCAATTATATTATAACACTACAATGTAATTTCCACCAGTGAGTGAAATCTCACTTCACTAATGAGTGAATAAAGGGAGAAAGACTCATGTGTAACATAACAAAATATATAAGAACATTTGAAAATTTATTTGTCAGGTTTGCAGTATTTGGGGGAGCATTGACAGTGATGGGGGGTTGTATGGTTATGGAGATGGGTGCCCCAAGACGTGATGAGAATGGTGCTATAATTGAGGATGAGTTTTCCCCCATGCCAATTGTACTACAATATCTGAGACGGACCTGGAAAGAGCTCACTTTTTATGAAAAGGTAACAATAATTATCATATTACGGCGATTAAAATCAATCAGATTACAAGTTTGTCTATTAGGGAAATATTAAAAAAAATTATTGTTTTAAATAAGAGGAAAAAAGAGAAAACATGAATCGTGTTGCTGTCGCTTTAAACATAAATTAAGAGCTTATGTAAATTGTAGATAATTTTATTAATAGTTTATTTTGATCTCAAATTCTCCAGATGATCAAAGAACCATCTCGTGAAAAGTTGCTGCCTGACCCTCTTCCAGCACCATACCAACCAACATACACATTAGTGTTAGAGTTTACTGATATTTTAGTACATCCAGATTGGTCCTATCAGACTGGATGGAGGTGAGTATTTATCCATTGCATCTATAAGTATAGCATTCCATTATCTGTAGGATATAGGAGAGGAATATTTATAACCAATTCTTGTTTAAGCATGGAACAGTCTAAATATTATCTGTCAAGTAACAAACCTACTTTAGCGAAACACCACATAAATGAACTCATATTAATTATAGGTTTAAGAAACGTCCAGGAGTAGACCAGTTTTTACAACAAGTGGCAAATTCTGATTATGAGGTGGTGATCTTCACATCAGAAAATGCCTTCATGATATGGCCAGTGATAGACAAATTGGATCCTGAGAACAAATTTATAGCTTACAGATTATTCAGGGACTCAACACACTTCATTGATGGTGTGCATGTCAAGAATTTGGATGGATTAAATAGAGATCTGTCAAAGGTAGTGTAGGCTTTGCTACTTATTGGCTTTGTAAATAAGTTTGCTGTCATAATGTTTCATGTATGATATTGTTCCACATAGAGCTGGCATGGACAGCGTTCTTTATTCCAGTGGGACCATGCTCAAGTTTTTTTTTTATTTGACTAGTCCATTTAGTCCGTTCTAGTTGCAAAAAATTAGATTTAGTTTTTCCGCCGGGCGCCGTTTCTAAGTTATAAGTGTGTTCTACACAAATTACGTATATATATATGAGTTCCGAGACTAACGCTAGAGATAATAAATCTGTTGAATCTTCTAAACTTAGCAGCGGCTAAATCTAGTTTGTTACGATTAGAACTGACTAAATCACTTATTCCCAGTCGTCACTACTGGCGTTATTCCCACTGACGACAAATGGGGAAAATAATCCCATATGTTGCCAGGTGGTGACAAACGGGATAAAAAAATGACACTTGTTGCCAGTAGCGAGAAATAAAAATTTAAAAATCCCAGGCTCTGTATTTTTGTCATTAAACTCGAATTTTATTTTATTCCCTTTCGATGACGACAGTAAACAAACGCTAGCATTAATTGGGATTTTTTTATCCCATTCGTTATTGACAACTTACGGCATTCCTTGCGGCGCAAAATGAATAGTATAAGAGAAAAATCGAACTACTAGAAAACCAGGTAACGGATGACAAATGTTACATCACCATTCTAGAAACTAAGATAGAGGATATACAAATGAGTTGTCGTAAGGCTAATTTTGAAATAAAAAACGTACCAAAAACGTATGCTGGGACGAAAGATGACCTTATTGACATGGTTTTGTGTCTCTCAAAGCACAGACTGCAAAATAACTAAGTCAAGATATAAGGGATATTTATAGAGGACGAGGAAATAGATCTGACAAATCAAACACACCTATTATTGTTGAAACCGGCTCAGCTCTTCTCGAGACTGCTGTATTGAAAATGGGGAAAGCGTTTAACATAAAACAAGACCAAACAAGTGAACCATATGCCACCCTCCATAACTCATCAACACAAGTTAACACATTTGTAATAACATAAATAAATACATAAAATATGTAAGAAAGGAAGCAGTTCCCATTATAACACCTCTGTTTCCGGAAAGGTGCTGTCCCTGCACAACTTAAACTTTCAATTATTACCCCAGTACACAAGGGTGGGGATGGAGACGACGTCAACAACTATAGGCCAATCTCAGTTTTACCAGTTATATCTAAAATATTAGAAAAATTAATAAATATTAGACTACAAAATTTTCTTAATCGTTACAATATATTATCCTTATCAATTCGGTTTTGAACCTGAACCTTGATTTAGGAAGGAAATGTGTAACAGTCTGGACTTGAAAAAAGCCTTTGATACCGTCTCCATCCCAATTCTTTTAAGTAACTTGAGAAAATTGGAATCACAGGAACACCGCTAATTCTCCTTAAAGATTATCTTTCTGACAGGAAGCAAAGAGTTAAAATTGAACAGTATACTAGTGATGATATGGAAGTAACATACGGTGTTCCTCAAGGAAGCGTTTTGGGTCGTACACTATCCTAGTATATATTAACGACCTTTGTAACTTAAATGTAGAAAATGCAAAAATCATTTCCTACGCTGACGATACAGCTGTTTTTTCTCGGGTGATTCTTGGGAGGAAGTGAAAATTGGTGTTGAGAAAGGGATGGCTCTAATAAGCAACTGGCTGGAAAATAATTTCCTGAAATTAAACACCTCAAAGACTAACTATATATGCTTTAGTTTAAATAGTCGTACTCAACCTGAGGAAGGTTTTACCATTAAAATTCGTATTAGTGATGACATACACAACAAAACCTGCAATAGCCAGAAACTAGAAAAGGTTGTAAGTGCAAGGTACCTGGGTATAATCGTGGATCAGAAATTGTCTTGGCATGCTTGCCCATCTTGAACACGTTACTGGGAGAGTTCAAAAACTAATTTGGTTATACAGGGCGCTGAGGCGGATTGTTCCAAGAAAAATGACTAACGATATTCAATATTCATCAAAAAATCTTTTAAATGAAATATACGTTGCCTTGGTGCAGTCTGTTTTGGTATACTGTGTCTCGGTTTGGGGCGGCGCGTCAAAGACAAAATCTGTAGAGGTTGAGAGGCCAAACAAGCTTTGATCAAAGTCATGTATTTTAAAATGATGGATTACTCAACTTATAATATTTATCTCTTAAGCAATCTTCTGTCAGTCAGAAAGCTGTATATATTGCAAATAGTTCTTAAAATGCATAAAACATTACCATATGACACAAATATAGAAAATAAAAGAAGGAAGGATTATGTAGCACAGGTTCCTAACACTAAATCAACATTTGCTGGTACGCAGTACAGTAGACGCTCAGCTTTTATATCATAAAATTAATAAACAATTACATATATTAAAAAAAATATTATGAATGCAAAAACATATTATATAAGTGGTTACTTAAGTATGAGGAAGTAGAGACGCTTCTGAAATCCATACAGTAGTATTCTCAAATATACACTCATACACATTCACACACATATACCTGTACACTCACATTAAATATTACACATACAACTCAAAATACACTACGTGTCTTGGTTCTGTATTTTCTTAATAGATAATAAATATTAAACCTCATAAATATAAAAAGTTATTTTAGCTAAGTTAAAAACTTATATTCAAATTAATCCAAATGAATTTAAGTTTTGAAATGTGTAAATATTTTAAATAAAATAAGTTTATACATTGGAAAGCTATGGTTATGGAAGAGCGGAGTCCCCTATCACGGGCATTGCTATGCTTAAAAGGAGACTCCTGATACTAATATTGTAAAAAAATGTAAACAGTTATTGAAATAAACCATCATTATTATTATAACTCCTGGGATTTTTAAATCCTATTTGTCACCACCTGGCAACATATGCGATTATTTTTCCCATTTGTCACCAGCGGGAACAAAGCCAGTGGTGACGATTGAGAATAAGAGGACTAAATCACGACTATGCAATCAGATCTGAGCTAGGTGCTGTGATTTTTGAAATTGAGAAATAGTACTGTTTGAAATGAGCTTATTCCAGTGTGAATAGTGAAACATCCTTATAACTTTGAAACTGCGGACCGATTAATTCTAGATTTTTGCGACTTATAGAACAGACTAAATAACAACTTAACTGACTTATCTAATTTAAAAATTTCGATCATTGTCACGCTGGAATAACGGACACGTGTCGACAGATCTTTACTGAGCAGACAGTATAGTGTGTATGCTAGTTTTTAAAAACCTAATTTAAATCCACGCTGTTAACTTGTCAGGTGATAGTAGTAGATTGGAACAAGCAGGCGACGAAATTTCACCCACAAAACGCGCTCATATTGAAGAAATGGAAGGGCGCTGACGACGATACGGCACTGTTGGACCTCGCCAATTTATTACAGAGTAAGATTTTAGCAAAAAACTAAGAGTTCTTTGTAAAATGGTGTTAACATGAATTTCATAAAATCATAAAGGTTTTTTAAGACTGTTCTGGTATTCAATGGTTGTTATTTAATAATAAACGTTAAATTCTTAATTTCAAAACAAAGAATCGTTTATAATTAACTAAAAATCATTGTAAACAGGAATTATTATGGAAATGTTGAACATTCTTACATTTTTCTTGTTAGAAATACATGTCCAAATAAACAAAAGTAACTACAATAATCAATTAATTAAAAATTTCAGCGATAGCGATGTCAAACGTATTAGATGTGCGTGAAGTTCTTACATACTACAGCCAGTTTGACGACCCCATAGCAGCGTTCCGCGAGAACCAACGGAAACTTATGGAGCAAATGGAAGAGAAGGAGAAAGAGAACAAAACTAACAACCCTCCGATCGCCAGCAGCTGGATCCGCAGCTTTACAAGACGTTAGCATCGTGAGTGGTTCACACGAGAACTCACAATTTTATAAAAAGGGTTAAAATCAGCATGGTCACCAGAGGGCAATACTCGCTAACTACTCGTATATTGTGAATTATGGCGGGTAAAAGCATGTATAAGGACAAACAGATGTCGCTTTTGAAATGTCTATGTGTTGTAGTTACAATTCAATTAGATAGATGTTGTAGTTACAACTCAATTAGGTAGATGAACTGATACAATTCCTGTTTGCGATTTCTAGATGGAGCCATTTAATATTGTTAGTAGTTAGTATCACGCCCTTTGGTGCTTCTCGTTTTTAGCTCTTGGTGACAACAGTTATCGAGACTTACGCTGGATCAGAGCAAATATCTTAACAAAACTAAGTAGGTGTACGAATATGTGGCGCGCTTGGAAATCTATGAATTTATCTTGTATTATTTGATAATATGGTTTAAGATATTTGCACAGATCTATGTAGAGATAAGGGATAGATCATATTTGTCGGTATTGCCTTTATTTAACATTTAGTATAGACGTCATGCTGACAAAAGACAATATTGGTCATCCCTAATTATTTCTGATAGCGTTACAGCTAAATAGAAAATTTATTGTAAAGATCTTGTAGACAACAATAGTGTAATAAACTCGATAGAACCAATAATTAATTTCTAGGCATTATATGTATTTCAATTGAAACTTTAAACATTATGAATTCTATGAAATCTGCTCGTAGTAGTCACTATTCACTATATTTTCGAATTCTATTTAGCCATGTTTTAATTTTCTTCATCTTTTGTTTATCGAAGTACTCGTTTTTTATTACTGTTTTCCTGTAGTAAAACATTCTTATATTTTAATTAAAACCCAAAATTGCTGCTCATGCATTGTCACTGTGGACTTTCAGAGTTTTGTTTCTAACTGTCCATTTACAGCTTGTTTTATGATAGTATTTAGGTGAGGGAAAGAAATAACATCTAAAAGGCATGATGTTGACTATCCTAATGTGGTACTTTCAGTTTTTGTGGAGGACGAAGATGATGCGGAAGGATAGATAGGAACACCTGTTTACATACTGTTAACTGTTAATTTAAGATTTTGTGTCTACCTTTCGCTCGCATTTATGTAATAATTTTTCATGTTATGACATTGTGCTATGGAACTTATCACATTTGCAACTATAAAATTTATCATTTGCTGATTCTCAGTGTGTTATGTTTGGATGGTGTTTAAAAGCTGGCTGTAATTTTGAATATTGTTGTAACTGCCATAAAATAAGTAATTTAATGTACTTAGACCATGTTTAAACTTACAGCTACAAATGTTATTGTCGTGTTCTATGAATTAATCTTAATAAGATGTTTGTGTATATGCATATAGGTTGTATGCGAGTGCGTATGCGGATTTGAAGTCATTATAGATAGAAAATATAGATGTTTATCAATATTCATTGGCATTTTAATTATTCGCTGTCTGAGTAATGTAAATTTAAAGCTAATGATGACTCTTCTATAGTGGTTTCAGTTGGAATTTGGCTTAAAGCATTGGTCCATACATCTAAGAGACCACTATCTAATTCTTTGTTTGAAAAAGACTCACAAATTTCCTTTTCATCAAATTTCTGTTCGCATAACTTATTTTCAATAAATTTGTGATAGTCTGGCACTTTCTTTAGACATTTCCAAGTGTCTGATATGTCTTCTATAGATGTGACTTCAAATGTTTTCTTCTCTAGTTTATAACCCTTGCACCATTCATTTAGTTCTTGGATACTATTATCATCTATAAATGTCTCCATATGTTCAGGAAACAGTATGTGCGAGGATATGTCACCTAAGGAATTTTGCATCAAAATAATATAGTTTTCACCTTGTTCCATTATTACACTTCCAGTTATTGCTGTGGAAAGCCTGCCATCTATCGGATTATACATATCCAGGCAAAGTGCCTGCTGTCGTGCTTCATGAAGTGAATTCAATATGCTGGGCGGTCGATACGGAAGTACTACAGCTTTTATTTCCGTTCCCATTGTTATATGATCAGTGTAATTTACAACAACACAAGTATCCTCACACCACTGACTGCTTAAACAGATTAATTCTTTATTGAATTCAAAATGGCATGTTGTTATGTATATTGGTATACATTGCATTCCATGTGTCCACCTTTGTACTGGCTTAAACTTTTTAATAAATCGAATATCCATTAGGAAAAGATGGTGATCTGTACCAAAATATAATGATGAGGCTCCTTCAGGCTGATGTGCAGCAGAGATATCATTACATCCGACTTCATCTGTAATTTCTCTGAGTGCATTCCATGTTTTAATTGTGGAATTTGTTCTTTTATCATACATAACCACTGAATTCCTTGTTACGTGAGTGTATGTGGTACGGTCAGAACTAAACACAGTGTTCCAATTGTCTACAAATGAGGGAATGTTGTATTCAAATTTTATAGATCTTCCAGTCAATCTATCTAAATTAACAATAGTCAATTTGGAATTCAACATAGTAACATACAAAATATTCTTGTGGTACTTGTCAAAGGATATGCTTGTAAATGGAAATTCTGACTCCATAACTTTGATTTGGTTGAATTCTATAATATTGTTTGAGTTCAGAAGTTTTAATATGAATATTTTGTATTTTGTTCTCAAAGCAACAATGTTTTCTCTAGAGCAGATGGTCTCAAGTATGTTGTTGCCTACTCCACAGGTAAAAATTGCTGCATGGGTGGAGTTCACTTTTATATCATTTTTGGAGAACAATGTTATATCTGAAAATAATGACGCAATTAAATTATTAATATAGATCTATGACATACATTATAGATATGTATATGAAAAGTGCAAAATGTTTGCTTTAAAGATCAAATAGTTTACACAATTGGAAATACTTACACACATTACTAAATTCACTATGCAACAAGTAATTCACCCAGTCAATGCAAATTACGTGTAAATTACCATTACCAGCATAATACCAGTTGTATGAGCTGTCAAAGTATGGATCTGGATTATTGTCTAAATGGGCTGCCATGTTTACTAAATGTTTTGGGCAATGAACCACTTGGTCATTGAGTTTTTCATACTTTTGCAACATATTACTGTGAGCTGAAACATTAAAGTTGCTAAGTTATTAAAGTGTGCTTGCTTTTTAACAAATCAACATATTCAAATTTGTGTGATTATAAAACTGCTCCAAAGCCATAACCTACCACAGTAGATCACACAAGAGCTGTTTTAAGAACCAATATGAATTCATCACTTTAACTGATTTGTTGCCATCATTGCTTCATATTCTGTATATTACTAGGAGGACTGTTGATTTTTATGCTTTCTGTATAGTAGGCAACTATACAGAAAGCATAAAAATCAATCCATAGAGAAGTATCAACAATGTATTGACAACATTAAATTATTTACATGCACACATTTCTGGACATTGCATTGAGACAATACAGTGGACACTAATGTATTATTTTGTAAAGGTGATACAAGTACTGCCCTCGGAACAAAAAAGGCACAACTGTTGTATAAAGTATACACAGTTGTGTCTTTTTTTGTTGAGACCGAGAGCAGAAGAATGTTGACGGGATCAGTCATCAATGATAAGGTATAATTAATTGAATAAAGCAAAGTAACTGCCTTCATGGCCAAACAGTTAACATCCTGGACTGCGACGCAGAGGTTCCGGAGAAATATTAGCTGTAACAAGCACAAGTCCGGATGTGCATGGTACTCCATGCTGCACCTGTGGGATGGCTCTCCTACATACCAACTGGCCACCTTGGATTCAATTAACAATCATGCCAAAGGCTTATAGATGACTTAGAATTGGTGAAGGCAAAGCTGCAGAGCCTTGAACACCGCCGTAAAGTCGCCTGCTTATCGATATTTTACAGGATATATCAAGGAGAGTGTGCAATGGAATTACACGAGTTAATTTTGCCTTCCCCTTTCCATCACCGGGGGACTATATCGTGGATATTCCAGATTCCCGCGAAGCGTTACACTTCCACATTTATATGGCGAATAGCTATGGAGTGGAATTCCCCGTCTGCAGACTCGTTCCCTGAATGTTATAACTTGGGCCTTTTCAAGGCGAGAGTGAAAAGGCATTATTTTGGTGTACATATTCCATCGTCAACCTCATCTTCACTTTCCATCTGGTGAGATGGAGGTCAAATGCACACTTTCATTTTAAAAAATAATATACAAAGTACTGTCCTTAGCGGGTAAAAACAACTTGAAAAGAAAAAGAGCTTTAATTGCAGAAAATCAAAAAATTGTTTACTTACTAGCTGATAGTCGAAGGTTACGACAGTCTCTATTCCAATCACTCTTTACTTTCATATAAATGGTAACTGGGTCAACTTTGTCTATATGTTTAATTTCAGAAATTATTTTTGGCAACAAACTTTTATATGTGAATTGTTCAAAGTAAATTGAATTCAAACCACCATCCCAGTTTTCTGTGAAATCATTTAACGGATGACCAGTAACAGCGAAATGGTAATTGTAATGGTTATCTTTATTTGTTCGTCTTTGTCGCAATGTTTTGGAGTAAAATGAGAAAGCCTGGTTATTTTTGTGCTGTAGGTCATCTAAAATCTTCTTTATAGGAGCTGTGTTATCAATATTGTCTGCTGTAAACTCTGCAGGTGGTTTTTTTCTCTGTAAATATAGAATAAACATTTTTGAACTAAAATAATGACATAATTACTCTGAAATGTGAAAGGTATTAAATTAGTTTCATAATTACAATGACAGAAATTTCGACACCATGAGATTTTTACATACCTTTACGGCTGTGCCCTTTACAACAGTTTCCATAATTATGTGTAGGTTTAGACTATTTCGTTTCCTAACTAATAAAAAATCTTGTAATTTCTGGAGGTACCCAAATACTACCTTGTTGATCCGGTCTCAAAAGGACCGGCTCAGCATCAAAATAGCTGATGTTAAGTTGTATGTTAAGGACCTTTGGTGCCAGTTTTTGAGTCCAATGCGTTGGTACTTCACTTCCTTTTTTATATGAGGTTATTTTAAAGCCGTGCAATATTGGTTGATGATAAACCTTAGGATAGGAATATGGAATTCCATCCTCTAAGTGGTAAACGACACACTAGTGATTTTTTATTCTATTGAGTATCTAAAACCACAAGAGAAAACTACAGAATAAAATATTTTTTATATTTTTAGCTATAACCATGGGTGCACAAACTATACTCCGTCTAACCATAATTTAACTTTTGACATAATATGCAAGCATGCCTCTCCTCCAACCGATACAACTATCCATAGCCAAAAAATGCAATACCATGTCGCTATTCGCGTCGCGACTCATATAGCCACTTGTGCGATCGCGTCGTGAGCGGTTTTTCGAGCACGAGTCAAAAAACACGAGATGACGAGGAAAAATTGCTTATTTTTTAAAACGTTTAAACGCTGTATGTAGCTTTTTGAAAAAAAGCGTACTTTTCTAGGCGCTTATCACTTATGCCACATTCTCACATTCGTGCGAGTGGCGATGCGATACATGAAATACATTATGTAAACGGTCAGTATAGTAGCTCGTTATCAGCAAGTAAGTGAATTTCACTTCCAAAGTAAGTGTCTATCTAGATATATGTGATATGATGTGGCAAGTGATTTTGTAATCAGAAAATGCATAAATTATTTTAAAAACAATTATTTTAGTTTTGTATGAATTTCGATAAAACAAATATGCAACCGAGTGTAAGCCTCATATTTGTAATACATTGCGGCTTTTACTTGGTGCGATATATTTGTGATCCTTTGTTAATAAGCCACGAATGTTGAACGAACGCATTTTGTATAAAGCATTCAGTTTTGTGGTACGGCCGCTTGTACATTTCTTTGGCCAAATTTAACATTTAGTGATAGAGTAACGTTAGGCAACACAGTTCTCGATTCTGATTTTTAAACAAAGGGACGATAATTATTATGACCATAGCAATATCATAAAAATAATCTATAACTCTTTTGTTACAAACTTTAGTAACGTTTCGTTCTTTTTTCAGTTTTGTTGTACCTGTTATCAGTAGTATCTGTAATTTCGATAATTTTTGCAGCACGTTGCATCGAATGTCCGAATATAGTGAGCAAATAATTACATGCATCGCCGGATATGTAGTACGAGTAATAAAAAAATATATATAATCATTATAATGCAAAGAATTAACAGTGCGCTGTTTTTATAAAAATCTGGTGTTTGTCATACGTATGAGTTCGTTAAAAACTTTAAAAAAAATTAAACTCTAACTTTTTTTAAAGTAATCGACATTTTTTTAAAACAAGTAAAACAAAGGACTTAACTATCTTATTCTAGTATTTTTCTACCATATTAATATTACGACTACTTGTAATCAACAAATACTTGAACAAAAATCATTCCATTTAGAATCGATTAATTGATTTAGAGCGAGCGGAAGAAGGTTTCCATCACTAAATAGTTCTTGTGATGTCATAGTGGGTACAAAAAATTTGGCACGCTTGGTTTTCATACAAATTATCATCTCACCCACAGAGCTTAGCTGTTCGGCTACCGAGTACAATACGTAAACTCGCGCGTTGACTCCGTCCACTGATTGATGGCAACGGCGGCGTCTATTATTGTCGGGTGTCAATATTATTTACAATGTACCGGAAAACTTTGAAACGTCATAACGTATTTATTTGCTAAGTATTTAAAAATAACCGAACATGTATTTTTTATTTCTATTATACAGTATGTTCCTTTAAAATGGTCAGTGGTTTTTTTTATCACCCTGTATAGATCTAGTCGCGATTACGAAATTGTTAGCTGCAAAACAAAATATTTGGTAGCTAAATCTTTTAGCTCTTTTAGTAAGAGAACTAGAAAAATAAAAAATTGGAAAAAAAAAACTAAAGCTTAACTTTCAATATAACAAGATGATAATGATTTGATTGATATTGATGACAATTATGTTTTCGATTTATTTTGTGAAATTAAGAAAAATATGTATTTATAAACGCTATCTCATAATTATGTTTTGTTTTTGTATAGCCACTTTAGGCAATTTTACCCAGAATAAATTTATATATTAATTCTTTATTGCACAAATAAATGACATTGAAAATTACAAGTTACACAGGACATATTTATACTAAGGTGAGTTTATCTCTAGAAGAGATCTCTTCTAGCCAACCCTAGCCGTGGTGAATATACTAAGTCTGCAGGACATTATTGTACGGACAACGGCACAACAGATTACATATTTTATTCGAAAATCGCCTACAGTGCAACGAAATAAGATACGTCAATGTGTAGCTTGATGTGCTGCCAATACATTTAATAGATTTCAAATATAAATATAATTATCAATGACGACAATATAAATATGGCTGAGATATAAACCTACATAAACATTACGTACTTATATAAATACATACATACACAATATATATTATTATCAAATAATTTGTATTATTACTTTATATTTATGTTACTGATTAACTTCCGAGTTTAACAGGAAGTGCTCTTTTAATTTGCGTTTGAATGATGCAACCGATGGACTGTCACGAATACTAGCAGGTAATTTATTCTACATACGAGCTGCACTAACTGCAAAAGAATAGTGGTAAAAATTGGAATTGGATTGGGGACATAAGTGTTCTAGTGTCACAGGTTCGTTTTGGGCGAGAAGTGCGGGGTAAGTGAGTAAAACGGGAGCGTAGATAGTGAGGAAGCTGAGTGTAGTCTAGTATTTTGTACAGAAGACAAAGGATGTGCAAATCTCTGCGATGTCGGATAGGGAGCCATTTTAATTTAGATCGAAATTCAGAAATATGGTCATATTTACGCAGACCAAATATAAAACGTATTGCCAGATTCTGTAGACGCTCCAGTTTGTTAAGCAGCTCCTCAGTTGCATCCAAATAACAAACATCAGCATAGTCAAGAAGAGAAAGTAGTAAGGACGCACAAGGACAAGCATGACCTTGGTTTTGAACCGCAAGAAAAATTAAAGCCGCATAAGAGATTTACAAGAAAAGTGTATACGCCGACTAACTTCATTTACCTGTGGTCTCCAGGACAATGTGTGGTCAATTATTAGGCCAAGATTCTTTGTTTTATCTGTATACGTATTTTCGTACTGCGAATCTCCGATTGGGGCGATGCCGATCTTGTCAAATTTGACGCTACCTAAACGCAGGCGTGTCTTTGCTCCACAAAACGGAGTCCCTTTGAGCTGACTCCGATTTTTCGTGATATATCCATACCGATAACCGACTGTCTCCAGTTATTTAGAATGGACCTGTCGTCCAATTTTAATTTCGGCAGATACATGAATCCATGGCCAAAAATGCAGCAAGGAAGCTTGGCATCTTTTCCAGGGTGAGGCGTTACTTTACATCAGGACGGCTCTGCTACATATCAACTGGCCACTTTGGATTCAATTGACAACCGTGCCAAGAGGCTTATAGGTGACTCGGAATTAGTGGAGGCGAAGCTGCAGAGTCTTGAACACCGCCATAAAGTTGCCTGCTTATCGGTATTTTACAGGATTTATCACGGAGAGTGCGATGGAATTACACGATTTAATTCCGCCTTTCCCTTTCCATCACCGCGGGTCTAAGCGGAGCCATGGGTTCCACCCACAGACATATATCTAGATAGACGCCGCAAGCGTACGTACTTTGCGTGCCCAAAGTATCGAACGAACGCACTTTTGTATAATGCATTCAGTTTCGTGGTAAGGGCGCTTGTACATTTCTTTGGCCAAATTTCATATTTAGTGATGTGTACGTTAGGCAACACTGTTCTCGATTCTGATCGTATTTGAAAACAAAGGGACAAAGTTATTATGACCTTAGCAATATCATAAAAATATTCTATAACTCTTTTGTTATAATGTTTCGTTTTTTTTTCAGTGAGCCTTGTTACATTCAACACGTGCAAATGCAATTAATTCAAGGCGACATTACAGTCGCATTGTTTTTAGAAAAATTGCGTCGTTAGAAAATGTGAGTTTTATTTTCACAAGTAAATACACGGTATAAACAAGTATAATTTTCAATGGTACTAAGGACACATAGTAGTATCATTTGTACCATTGATGGTACAAATCAATGGTACGTGGTGGTAATAATGGACACTAAGCCGTTGTAGTACCTGTTATCAGTAGCATCTGTAATTTCGATAATTTTTGCAGCACGTTGCCTCGAATGTCCGAATGTAGTGAGCAAATAATTACACACATCGCCGGATATGTAGTACGAGTAATAAAAAAATATATATAATGCAAAGAATTAACAGTGCGCTTTTTTTACAAAAATCTGGAGTTGGTCATACGTATGAGTTAGTTGCTTTCGAGGACGAAGGTGGTTTAGTTTATCCCACCTAAGATGCTATCCAAGTATGTACATAGAGTAGCAGAGTTAGAAATCCGAGAAATTAGAGTAGCAGAGTTAGAAATCCGAGAAATAAACAAATCACAAAAATTTCACATGAGGCCTTCATTAAGTAAACCTCTTCTGATGAATAAGATTTTACCATATTTTGTCAGCGATAACATTTTCATTTGTCTTGCCATTCATCAATTTGATCAATTACCAAAAGAAAACCATCTAGTAAAATTAATTAAGGCAGTCGCAGTTCATATATTGACGTGCGTTTTCATTATTTAAGTTAATCGATAAAAACATAAGTACAAAAAGATGATAAGATAAGCTCATTTTATTGGAAGGACAATAATTTTAACACGAGTCGATTAAAAATTAAAGTCTTAATTTTTTTCGATTAAAAATTAGTCTTAATTTTTTTCGATTAAAAATTAAAGTCTTAATTTTTTTAAGTAATCAAAATTTTGTACAAACTAAAATTATTCTATTAAGAATCGATTGAACGGATACGCGGCGTATTCGTTCAATAGAGCGAGCGGAACGAGGTTTCCATCACTAAAGAGTGCTTATGACGTCATAGCGGGTACAAAAAATGTGGCACGCTTGGTTTTCATACAAATTGCTGTACTTGCGGCGCGGCATTGACTTACAAATAACTTGCGGCGTCTATCCAGGTATATGTCTGTGGTTCCATCCCTGTCGTGGATATTCCATCCAAAGATTCGCACGAAGCGTTATGCTCACAAATTAGAAAGATATAGTAGGATTATGTTTCCACATTTATATGGTGAACGGCTATGGAGTGGAATTCCCTGCCTGCAGACTTGTTCCCTGACCGTTATAACTTGGGCCTTTTCAAGGCGAGAGTGAAAAGGCATTATTTAGGTGTGTATGCTTTATAGTCGACCTCATCGTCACTTTCCATTAGGTGAGATGAAGGTCAAATGCGTACTTATAATTTATAAAAATAATAATAATAAGCAACCGTGTTCTAACTACACAATAACATAGTATGTTTAATATGATCTTAGAATAATAACGCATAGAAACCTAGCCCGCACACGCTAAGTGAGGCAAGTTAGAAGGTTCCAAACGCGTCCCAGGAGCGCGCGGGCTGTTAGTGCTCAAGGTCATATTGCACCGCGAACAGCTCCAAAATTTTTTGCTAAAAATGACGAAATGTGCGGTAAATGGGTGTAAAAATACAACAGACAAACATAAAATAGACACTAACATCGCATTCCACAAGTAAGTAATGCGTTTCAACTCATATTTTTATGTAAATATTCACATAACAGAAAAATAATTTCGCGGCAACAAGATACGAAAGTGTTGCAAAG